GGCTCCACTGTTGTAATCAGGAAACCCGCCATGAGAAATTATGTGCAGCAGTTGCTGAAGTGCATATAGACAGAAAGCAGCTGCAAACAGGATGCAGATGATCAGCAGTGCTGATTTGAAATGAAAAATAAAATAGGTAAAAACAGTATTTTTTTTAAAAAGGCAATTGTTTATAATATGCTGTGTTTTGGCAGACTAAATGTAATTAGTTAGGGTTTACAGGTATTTGAATTAACTACTGTTGTGCTGAATTTTAGAAAATGACTCAGGTCAATTGTTTATAATATGCTGTGCTTTGGCAGACTAAATGTAATTAGTTAGGGTTTACAGGTATTTGAATTAAATACTGTTCTGCTGAATTTTAGAAGATGACTCAGGTTCACCTGTGGCCTGTAGGTGTATTTGCATGCATGTACCACATGGTAGAGTTTGAGTGAAATGTTTATTAGTAGTTTGACCATGTAAGGTAATATAAAAAGTCCAACAGTCCACTGCTAGTCTGTACAGCTTAATCGCAGTGTGCTGACAGTTTAGTGCATAGCTAATAACCCTGCAATGCACCTGTTTAATATTATAGATCTCTCAAAATTGTCAAAAAAGAGGGGCACTCAAGGTGTTCCCAGGAATGATGCATTCAGGTGCTGCTAAGAATCCCAAATAATCTATTTTCTCATGAGAAATCTTGTCATGCAGACTGAGGACAGCTTTGGACAAAATGGATCCTGGCAAAAATTAAAGTGGGTACACATGCTAAAAAAACGTGTACTCAATTGCTGGAATATATCAGCAAAATTAGACAAACTATGGCAAATTAAAACATTGAGGTTGTCAGTTGACCCACATAGCTCTACTAATGAAATTCCACATCAACACAGATGTCCCCCTATGTATTAGCTTAAGTTCTTAACACAATTCTGTGGATCCCACCAGGCCATAGACTTCAATTGTGTAGCTCTTTGCTCAAAAGCAATCTCACAACCTGTGATGCAATCAAATACTCAAAACTCTCCCCCTATAGATTTCTTTATATTATATCCATTATATCTCTTCCATCTTTGTCAATTCTTACAAAAATGGCCTAATGACCTAGGATCAGAGAACCCCCAGAGGATTGGGCAACCATTTGGAAAGTGGCGTTCAAATGCTTTAATATTTCCACTATAGAGTCAGCGTATGAAGTCATGATGACATCACATGTTTCCTATCAGAGTAGTGCACTTTAATTCTTTATCCCCTAGGAATTCCTACCCCAGCGCAATTCTGGTCTTAATTGTTCTGCCTTCTTTCCTCGTTGTTCTGCATCCATATTAGACGTAAAATACAGTGTGACTAAATAAGCATTAGTAATCAATAGCATATGCCCCTCCAAACAAATGGCACGAAAGGGCTGTCTGCATTTAACAGCATATACCCACTAGTATGCATCATTACCTATCTCTGCATGTGTTTGGGTCTCTGCAGGGTCTTTCAGCCCTTTGTCACAATCAGATAATTGCCTTCACTGGCAAAAGTACATGAGCTACTGTTTAGCAGATTACAGTGCTTTTCAGTCCGAAACTTTGTGCAATAAAACACTCAGGTGTGTACAGGGGCCATAGAAATGAAAGGGATTCCTTGTCTTGAAATATTTTTTATGTTTAGCTTTGAGTGACGAAACTCCTAGGTGTGAACACAGAGCCTGTGATAATGTGACTGCTGATCACGCATTTCTCGTTTTGTTTTTTCTCCTTGCAGAGACTGTCAGTCACTGCCCCATGAAGGGATTCCCTCATCCTCTCTCACTTCCTCCAATGGAGGAGGCGGGCACAGCTGGTTCTGGCTCTAGAGAAGCAGAGACAACTGCCAATCAGGCAGCGGGCTGCATTCCCACAATATTGTTGGAGTCCTTCACGGCTGTGGAGCTGTCATGGTGCTGTCAGCATATAGCAGCCAGTAGCCCACTAACTATTTATCTTTTGGGTCACAGGAGCACATTTACTAATGTGCTCCTGTGCCCAAAGTGGGCAAAGGTTTGACTTTACTTCTCTTTTAAGCAGATTTAGAAATATAAGGTCACTGTTTTAAATAAATAAAAATACGTAACATTTTTAAATTTTTTTTTAGTACAGATGCTCTGTTTAATAGAAATTATGGTGAAGCCTAATTGTAGTAAGTGTTGGTGACATCATTTTATAGCAACAGTGTAACTGTATAATAAATGTATAGATTTTATCCATTTATTTTCTTATTTTGCTATATTAAATAGATGGGTAAAAAGACAAATTATATTATTTATTATTGTTTATAAATGTAATAAAGTCTGGTTAAGCCATATCACAATAGGTTTGTGCAATAAATTCACAAAGCTAACCAAAAATGTTTACTGTTAAATTTAAGCCAATTAGTTATATCTGTAAAGAAGGACTATTCTGTGTTATTTATCAATTTCCAAATGTTGTATATTTAAAGACTGGGTTAACAAAATTTCCAGCACAGTGATTATCAACAAGCAGGCTGTGGCCTCTTTCCTGCTGGGCCACAGCTTCCTGTCTGCTGGGCCTACAGAACACTCAGATTCTCTGCTGATAATTCACTGCCCTGACACAGATAATAATAGCTGAGCTCTGCAAATCACGTGTCAAGTGCCTCCTTCTCTTATAATTTATATACATTCAGCTCTCACTTCTTTTCCCCCGAGTGGGAGAATTCACAATCACAAAAAAAGTTATTGTTGAATATAAAAATAAAAATAAGAGAAGAAAGCTGAGATATGAAGCAAGTGTGCTACAGTGGTAACTATAGGGAATGTATAGCATACTGGTCGGACAGAGAGCAATGGTAAGGGAAATTATTTAGGGTCTTTTACATTCTGCCTGTTCCCCCGCTCAGAACAAGTTTTTATTGAGGAAATGACACATAGATCATTAGCGAGCATGCAGTGGTTTAACACTTTTTTGTTAGTAATGGTGCATTGGTATGCATGCAAAATATGTTAACACTGTATTACTCAGTGTTGTACACTGAACACTGGGTAACTCATGCCAGTATTTGCATTTCAGTCATATGCTATTATTATAATACATTTTTACAGCTATGACATATTCCACAGTGCTGTACAGGGAGTCATTCATATCAGCCTCTGTGCTGGAGGAGCTTGCTATATTTTCCTACCATGGTCACTATTAGTTTACATTTTTATAGCTGTAACATATTCTGCAGTGCTGTACAGGAAGCAATGAGCCACTCACATGAGTCTTTGAACTAAAAAAAGCTTACACTCTAATGTCCCGCCATAGTCACACACTGTTATTATACATACATGTAGCTCTGATGTATTCCACTGTGTTGTACAGAAATATCCCTTCATGGCTACACACTGTTTTCATACATTTATATTACTCTGACATATTCCACAGTAGACATGTGCACCAGCAAAACATTTGTTTAGTTTAGTTTCGTTTTGATTCGGATTTTGCATACTTCGTTTTTCGGATTCGGGTCCGCAATTGAATTCGTTGCGGGATTCGGACGAAATTCATTAGCAGTAGTCGTTTTTCGGATTCGGGTCCGCAATTGATTCAAATTCGGACAAAATTCGTTAGAGGTAATCCGGTCGAAATTTCGTTTACTAACTATTTGATTTAACCCTTTAGTGAATGGGTAGGGGTAAAAGTACCCCTTACTCATTCACAAGGGGGGAGGACGGCACCTGGGTGCCCC